GCGTTATCATGCGTTAAAAGCAAATTATTTTCTATGTAAGGAGCAAATGGAACTACATGATTAGACAAAATGTCTTTAATATACCTTTAACTTGTTAAGAAACCTCTTCGTGAATCAACAAGATCCGTTCGTGTTGTAAGAGATATTTCTCCCCAAACCATTACAGGTCCTCCATTGAATAAAGTGATAAGTCGTATATTACACTGTGCGTAGCGTTCTCTTGGCCGTCGAATAACTCTCCCACGTCTATCTGAGCTATATAAGCAATACCTCGATTCATCAGTGAACAACACGTACTCGTACTCGTACAATACGTACGAATATTATGAACATTTGTCACTTGTATTTGTAAATGTCTCATTGTGAGAAAACGTTCTCTTATAGCACGAAGCCTAAAAAACTGATCTTGTCGTGGTGTAGTATGTCTGTGACATACTACACCACAATTGTGGTAGAATGACTTGTGATAGTGTAGTATGAGATACCCCTAACCTCAAGCCTATTTCACGTAAAACTTAACCCTACATCAGGTAAAGTAATTGTCTGAACACATTCATCTCGGCTCAAATTTCTTGAAATACGATCCAAATCAACTAACTAACATACGTAAAATAGCAAAACAATTTTTTGAAATGTAAACAATATTGACAGTGTAAAATTGTCCTGTCAAATTATTTGATTTTTCATAGCCTACTAACTGCTTACATTAATGAGTATTACAATTCAATAAAATCACGTTATGCTTTGAACGTAGTTTTCTGTTTTGATAATAAAGATATCAATGATTTTTTTACGAAAATGTTAAAAAAAATTAAACTTTTTCAAAGTATTAAGATTAAGATGTAGCATTTGCTTTAAGTAAATTCCACAGTGTGTTGCAAAATAAGATGAAAAATCAAATTTATTTTTACACCTCGTATATAGGTGAAACGTTGACACTTCCCAGAAAACATTAATACAGTAATTACTTAAAAATAGGTCTGCAATGAGCAAAAAAATTTATCGAAATCCAATCAAGGATACACAAGAAAAATAGCTTAAAAAATATGGCAGAGTTGAGGTGGGACGTTAATTTTGGAGAGTAAAAATCACGTAATGCTTTGAACATACTTTTCTTTTTTGATAATAAAGGTATCGTGATGATTTTTTTACGAAAATATGAAGAGAGAATAAAGCAATCTTAAAATATAAATAACATGTAGTGTTTGTTTCTAATACATTCCACAGGGTGTTGCAAAATTAGATGAAAAAACAGGACTTTATTTTTACACCCTGTATATAAGTAAAACGTAGACATTTCTCAAAAAACATTAATACAGTTATTATTTAAAAAAATCCTACAATGTGAAAAACAAATCATGGAAATCCAATTAAGGGTTAATCCATTTTAGGTGGTGCGTTAATTTTGGAGAGTAGTATAGATAGGATCTGGTTACCCATATTAAAAAAGAAAATCAATAAAAAGAAAATATCACTATTAGTAAGTCAATAACATAATATCGAGGATGCATCATCTATGTTTTTAAATAACATCTTCTTCTTCTTCAGATGCAAATCCACTAATGGATGTTAGCGATCACATTTTCCATTAATTCTCTATTTCTTGCAATATGTATCAGAGATTGTATGTCGTTAATCCCTGTCCATTGCCTTATGTTTCGGAGCCAGGACATTTTCTTGCGTCCCATTCCTCTCTTGCCTTCAATTTTACCCTCGATTATAAGTTGGAGGAACTGGTATTTTTCATTTCGCATGATGTGACCTAGATACGCCGTTTTCCTTTTCTTGATGGTTTCGAAAAGTTGGCGTTCTTGGTTTATTCTTTTAAGGACATCTATATTTGTGATTTTCGCTGTCCATGGTATTTTTAGGATACGGCGATAAAGCCACATTTCGAAAGCTTCCAATCTGTTTATATCCCTCGTTTTGAGTGTCCAGCCCTCTACGCCATATAGCAGCACTGACAATACGTAGCACTTAGTAAACCTTAGTCTCAGTTTAAATAACATACATAAACATGCATACATACATACATAAATACAAAATCAGAGTTTGGTGTTTATTGAGTGTTAACTAAATGTAAGTCCAAATAATTACCATGTCTGGTTAGTATTATGAGGTATTTTTGCTGTTTTTTTTTGTGATGATTTACTATGGAATCACTAACAGGAGAATTTTACTGTAATCGTCGCAGGTAGTTTTCTTTTTAAACACGAATCACAATGCTATGATTTTTCTGACGGGTATTTTTACGTTTAAGTTGATTTCATGTAATCGAATAAATAATCGTTCTTACAATAATGTCGTCCCTAGAACTCAGCTCAACAATTTTGGCAATATAATTTTAAAGTCCTCTGCTTTAAAATGTTTAATCAATATGAATGAGTCAGATAAAATTAATTTATTAGAACATTTTTTTAAAATTTGTTTACTTTATTAACGTGTTTACCTTATTAATTTAAACTTAAATTGTGGTTTATTTTCAATAAAAATAGCAACTGTATGAAATAAAAGTCAATGTCTTGTTGAGAAAATGCAGTATTTTATGTAAAAATGTTAACAAATGTTCTAAAATATATCGTAGCAAATTAAATTTATGGCATAAAATGTTCTGTTGTTACAACCTAAATTAAAAAAATAAATGAAGTCAACAGGTATTTTTTTGTATTGAATTGCTTAGAACATTTGTCATACAACCAGTAACATAATATGAACTGTGAAGTTGCTATATGGAGTGTGTTCAGTACATATCTTGTCACTAAATAAAGTCGGCTTTATTGTCTTTACAAAGAATTGCTTAGTATATCCCAACGATGCGATACATCGGAAGAGTATCTATCGATCCAACAAAGAAGCAATTTTTTAATAAAAATTTCCGTCTTGGCCATATTTGGGCCCCTAAGTTTTTACGCTGAATATGTTGACGCTTCTACGATTGCACCACCATGAGGTTAGCGACATATTATAAGAAAATATTTACTGAATTTTAAATTTTGTTGGGTATACATGATACAAATCAATCAAACGGTTAATTTCAGCAATAATATTCATTTATACATACCTACAAAGTTGTACATATCGAAATCACAAAAATCCCGAATTCTTGTAACTTTGAATGTCATAAAGAAACAAAATCTTAAGAATTATTAATAAATCTTAATAAATTAAAAGTAAATTGTTTTACATGCGTTCGAATTAAATTTAGGTCAATGCTGAACGTGATATTGGATTCTTGTGATGATATCTTAAGATCATCATGATTATTTGAACTCTCTTTACTGTTGCTCTAAACATCTGATTAGACGAGCAATTAAAACACTCTCTGAGAATGCGCAGACTTGAAATTCATGACCTTCCAACGCTACGCTTTGAACAAAAGAGCAAATTTCAACCGACATCCCTCAGTATCTTAGTACAAATTGTTTATATACAGGGTATCCAATTAAGTCGCAATATGGGAAACTTTTTTATTTTTAGTTTGATAAAAAAAGTTATTCTCTATAAGAAGTTCTGCAATCTGTATGTTCTAAAACCTAAGATACAATCATCAATTTTTTTTTCTCAGTCATATACGCGGTTTGTCAAAAAATATGAGTTGTTGATACTGCAAGAAAATATATCTCTCTTCTATAGGTGTTAAAGAATAGAAAGTTACACAGTATTGCAGTAAACACTTTAAAATGAATTTAATTGAAAGATAATAGCATAGAAAATAGGTAAAGAGATTCTATGAAACGAAGAAAGTAATGATACGGTTTTTAGACGATACAACAAAACTAGCTTCTCACTATAATTGTTTATTCACTTCGAGCTCTTACCTCTCACCAATATTTTAAACTAAATACGATCTTTATCGAAAATATAAAAGTTACTGCCAATAATACAATCAGGAACTATTTTGCTAATCAATCAGTTAAAGGATAACAACATAAAGCTTTATAGGCCTAGGAAAGACCAGCGTGAAATTTGCATTGGTCTCAAAATTAGGAACATAGATTAGCCCACAAACAGCAAAAACAGATTGCACGATTATCTAAAGAAGAAGAAAACAGGTTATGCTTATCAAGTCAAAAAAATAAGTTAGCGGTGTAGATGTATAAGGAATAAAGCTATGCTACTGCAAGCTGCTATAAAACAAAAGTTTTTACAATTACACAATTTATAATCTGTTCAATGGGAATGTTACTTGTCACATTTGTGATGAAACCCATGGTGGTCTTGAGTCAAGTACTTTCACAACTGTGCGGACGGACTACTCGTTAACAGTAACATCTGAGCCAGAAGATTAAACCAATGGAAGATTATGTAGAATAATCCAATTTGCTGAAGTATTGCCGATTTTAACAACAAACTGCTTTGGAAACAACATCATAAGTGATGGCTGTTGATATCAAAATAAAAACTATGTGCTATTAAATGCTCTATTGATATTTGGAGTAGAAAAACTGCAAGTTGACTACCTAGTTTAAATTTTTCATCGGTAGTTTGAACCTAAACTACAAAAACTCGACTGAATTAATCTTTTGTTAATCAACAACAAAGTTGATCAACTTTATTGAAAGGAAAGTTCTTCACTTCAATTTTTATCCAAGAAACTAAAATCGATCAACTTGATTTGTCATGCTTCCTTTGCTTTTCTTCTTAATGACTGAACTGAATTTTAAAAGCAAAACAGTGTAATTAATCAAAACCCTTTTCAACAAACTCTCACTTGACCACATGTTCATTTAAAAAATATTGAAGGATGAGAGAAAACATTGTGCTATATTGTTTTGCGCAAAAAATGCACCATTAATAAAAAAAGAAATTTAGTGTTTCATATCTTTTTCGATAAGATATTTTTCTGCTAATAAGGCTTTCCGGTACGTTTTTGATGAGCCACGCTGTATATGTATGCACATATCATGAATCCCATATAGACTTAACAAAAAATAAGTTCACACCCATTTAACGAGGGATTATGTTTCTCGATAGTTGTGACGAGATTAATTTAATATAACAAAAATATCTAAACGACGTAATCTTCTAGTTGTGGTAGAACAAAATTTATATTGAAACATGTTGGTAAAAATGATGATTTGTTTTGTAATTTGCGTGTCATATTTAGGTAAGTTTAAACCTATTTTTATTTATATATAATTATTTGAAACTGAGAACGAAATAGGTAGATAAGGCACTGGTCTTATTCGATTTAGTCAGAGTGTAAGTGCGTAATAATTAAACATTTACTTCCTTACCATCGTTAGGGACGAATTTAATGTTTTCGTTTCCTAAAAACACTGCAAAAGCTACGGAAAATGCAGTTTTTGCATCACCTTTAAGATCACATCTTTGACCAATAGCGTTCATTGCTTCGTGTTTTATGAAACATTTTATATTAAATACATCGAGAAATATTTCGAAAATTATTTTCGTTGTGTTTTAATCAATCAAATCTATTGTCATTGATTATTAATTAGCCCTCCATCAACTAATTATACGAGGGGAGTAATATTTACACATAAAATCTGCTTCTTTTTATAATAGGCCTTAAACTTGTCCGATCTTACCAACATTCGATCAACATTCGTTGAAACAGGCTGGTTACATTCCTGTTTTCTCTGTCTAAGAGATCTCTTATTTGTGTATTTGGAAATTTTTTTCGAGCAGTTGATCTTAAGGCTCTCATTTCTGAGATTCTAAGTATTCTTTTTGTTTCTGCTGTATTTGTTCTTGTTTCTATCGCATAAGGTATTATTGATCTTATACATGATTATTAGTCTTATACATGATCAAGAGGAATGAAGACAATATTTACTCAAAAAAAAACTTTTACCTCTTGTCCGATCAATCAAAGACAACATTACAAATTAACAACACGGAGTTTATGAAATTCCTTGTGCAGACTGTTCCCGATCCTATATAGGCCAAACACATCGTAGAATCCAAAATAGGATTTATGAACATTCCATTTCTGTTCGCAATTCTGACTCAATTTCAGCTGTAGGTCAACACCATCTTCATACAGGTCACAAAATTGACTTTGAAAACTAAATAACCATAGCTCTCATCCGCTTCTATAAATTAAGAATTATCCGAGAAGCTATAGAAATTGAAAAAAGGCCAAATTGTCTGAATAAAACAGATAACGGCATACGATTATCTTCTACTTGGAGACCTCTCATAAAGAAAATCCATCGTCCGCTCCACCTGTCAATCAAAATTCTACTGTCAGAAATGTTCGCGCCAACATAACTCTTGAATTGGTATCTACTTCCGATGTTAGTCAATTATCGAATTTATTTTCGTTTGCTCTGTCTTCTTTAATCTTCAATCTCTAAAGGCTAAACAAAATCAGATATGCAGATGACACCATAGTATTTGCGGATAACTTGAAAGATCTACAAGTTCTTATAAACAAAATCACATATTAAAGTCAACACAAATTTAAGAGCCACAATCTCTCACTTGGTGTAAAAGTAAGATTGCTGCGATGTTACGTCGTCCTTGTCCGTTTTTGTGGTGTTAAATAAGGGACCTTAAACGAAGATATGTGCAGAAGATTTAAAGCATTTGAGATGTAGCTATATCGGAGAACTTTTAAGAGTCCGTAGAGTAACCGAGTCACAAATAAGGAAGTCTTCAGAGGAATGAAGAAGAACCGAGAGATACTAACCACTAATCAAATCTCGAAAGCTTCAATACCTCAGATACATAATAGAAAATGAAACCAGATACGCTTCCTTCAAGTCATCCTCAAGGAAAATATTTGGAAAGCAAAGAGCAGCAAGAAGTAGAACATTGTGGTTAAAGAACATATGCAGCTTTTCCGCGCTGCTGCAAACAAGATAAAGATTGCCATGGTGATTGCTAACATTAGTCACTAGTAGGCACATTAAGACGAAAAATCTTAGAATTGATGTGTTTTTGTGTCTTAGTATTGTTGGTATGTGTTATTTTGTTGTATTCCTATAGTAGGTATGTTTTCCTTTTCTCATACGCCAAATTTCTGATTTCAGTGTTAATCCAAGGCTTTTATATTTTTATTATGTTTAGATAAATATTCCTGACTCCTTTACTTTTTCTGCAGCTTTTATTATGTTTCATTTTATTTTCACACACATCTCGTTTACATTTTCTTCCTGTGTCATTGAGTTTTTCTCAAACTTTTCACTAAGCGTCTTCATATAACCATTTTATATTTTACTCTTTTAGAGAGTCTATGTTTAGTTTTTCAGAGTATTTGGGTGGTATTTTTGTTAATTAATTAATCGTATTTGTAATATAGACCAGGCGGCATCTGTTTTGGGTTGAGTAAATCGTATATGATCCTAGTTTTTTTCTGTAATCTTTATTTAAAAAATAATTAGTATTATTGCGAAATTAGCAAAACCAAATGAAAAAAGTATCAAAAATCAATGATTTTTTAATAATTCTTTTCGGGTATTTAGGAGAAGTAGAATTTATTTACCAAATCTTTAAATATAAAAAACATACAATATCAGCACAATCGATTAAGTAGTCTATGCAAAATAATTTTATAATCTAAATTGTTGAAAAAAAAATATTTTCCAATTTATACGAGCCAATCAAAAAAGTTTTAAATAGGTACTTGAAACATTTTTTTGAATATAGAAGGGCATTTAAGCTTTTAAATAAAGGTAAAACCATTGAAATCAATTAAATAGGAGAGCTAAGTGATTTTTTCAAACAACTGTACAATTTTTAAGCTAATAAACAAATACAATCACTTTTTGAATTTTCAATTCACTTTTTTTCTAATACTATGTCGAAAGTTCAGCAAAAGACGCGTATTTTAAGAGAAAAAATATTTATGACAACATGAGACTCAACTAACTTAACTATGAGAAAATTAATTATTTATAAATACTATTATTTAATTAAAACTAATATTTACGACTGAATGCATTTTTAGTTAATAAAAATACTACAGTTAACAATGATATATTAACCTTAATGGATAAAAAAAAATTAAAAAATGACGTAATTTTGCAAGTGAATATTCATTTATACGTAAAAACATGGAAAATAAATGATTAAAGGCTTTTAAAAGTATAATATTAAAATTTTTAACTTATGGGACCTCCGTTTGTTTTAATTTCTTCCCAATGTTCTTCGGTTCCCAAAACAAAAAGAGAATGGTTCAATGACGAGTGTAAAAAGACCATCTATCTATCTATCTAATCAGCCTTAAACGCCCAATCAGCCTTAAACGCCCACTTGGTAGCGGGTAAGAACTCTTCGGACAGTCCTACCAGTGAAAATGAATCAATCCCTGCCCTCCGCAGATTCCATGAGTTTCCTGACTCGGGAAACTAGTACCTGCTTAGGGTCCCTTGTCCAGGGTCACGCGAAAACGGTCAGCCTCAAGGATTCTGGGGGAGGCAGATTTTCTACAAAATTGAACATTGGAACATACAACATAAGATCAATGAGCGACGACATAAAGGTACATGAGCTAGAAGAGGAAATATCCAAGACATCATGGACATAATCGGGCTAACAGAGATAAGAAGAAAAGGAGAAAACAGAATTCAACTAATATCTGGTAATATACTGTACTCCAAGGGCAACCCAGACGATACAAAAAACAGAGTAGGATTTATAATCAATAAAAGAATTGGTAAACATGTACAAACTATTAAAGGAATATCAAATATAGTGGCAGATATATCCAAAAGCATTGGATGAAGAAAAGGACCGACTAGCAATTGTGATAGGAGATTTCAACGCCAAGCTAGGACAAAGACTAAATGACGAATAAGCAAAAATAGGAAAATATGGATATGGTGTACGAAACGAAAGAGGGACAACCCTGATGAACTACATGGAGGAAAGGAAACTCTACGCCATGAACTCCTTTTTCATCAAGAAGTCACAGAGAAAATGGACCTGGATAAGCCCAAAACTAAGAACGAGATCGACTACATATTATCAACACAAAAATACGTAGTCAAGGATGTTACAGTGCTAAACCGTTTCACAACAGACAGCGATTACCGAATGGTGAAGGCTAAGATACAAATTAACAGCCAATTTGAAACCAGAAAGAAAATCAAAAACGTACAAAAACTAGATATGGAGAAACTTAGCCAAAACGAAGAAAAGTACAAAGAAGAAATAAAAAAATGCATCCCAAATACAACCGACTTAATAAATAAAGAAACAAACGAAATAAATGAAATACTAACAACTACATTGCTACAGGCCGGGAAAGAATTGCAAAATCGACGACAAAAAAGGACAATTATATCTCAGAAGAAGTAGAAAACCTGATGAAGACAAGAAGAAGCCTACTTGAACAGGGCAAAAGAAACACAGTAGAATATACTGAAATCAATAAAACAATTAGAAAAAACATAAAAGAAACCAAGAGAAAAACGCAGGAAGCAAAGATTGAAAGAGTAATCCAGCAGAACAAAAATATGAAATGCTTAAAACAACGACTCGGTAAAACTCAGATAAATGAAATGACAAACAGCGAAGGAACAACCATTAATGATATGAAACAAATAATAAAGTTGACACAAGAATACTATACGCACCTATACAGAACAAGACATAAACCACAGCAAGAAATTCTTAAACAATTAAACACAAAAATAAAGAATATAAACTCTGACCTACAACCAGAAATAAGTAAAACAGAAATCAAGAAAGCAATTCAAGAATTAAAAAACCATAAGTCACCTGGAAAAGATGGAATAACTGCAGAGATGCTGAAGAGAGGAGGGAAAACAACTAGAGAAGTCCTACATATCCTCATGAACAAAATATTGACCACAAAAGAAATACCCGATAGCTGGAACGATGCGGAGACACTATTAATGTTCAAAAAAGGTGACCGAAAGAACTTAGAAAACTACAGACCTATAACATTACTAAGTGTTGTATTTAAACTACTAACGAAGATCATGACAAATAGACTAACAACTAAGCTTGACGAATACCAAGCAAGAGAACAAGCGGGATTCAGAAAGGGTTTTAGTACTAGCGACCATCTGCTAACAGTAAAAATACTGATTGAAAAGTCGAACGAGTATCAAATCCCATTATACATGGCATTCATAGACTTCCGAAAGGCGTTTGACAGCATAGAACATTGGG